TAAAACCACAGACAATTCACTGTCGTTACATTGTGGGTAGTAGCAGCATTGAGGTCCAAGGTGACTATGTACCTGAATGCAACATAGAATGAATAGAATAAATATTTGAATTCATATATTATTGTTATTTTTTTAATAGATACAAAACATTATTGAAATGTTGTGTATAAACACAAATATATAAATATACACTGCATATATTCATTATATTAGTCTCGAATAGTTTTTAAATCCTGATCATAATCGTGCAGAACAGGAAAATAACAGCATACAATTGATTGTAATTGTGTAACACTAAAGAAATTCATTATAAAGGGTATACGATTATGATGATGATTATTATTATTAATTATTTTATCAATTTTTTTGGATGTAGCTTAGATTTTTGAACTTGACTCTATGCCTGACTCCCAATGACGTTGGGTCACATTTTGTATCGATATGAAAAGAACAATGTTTTTTTTTTTTTGCTTTATTTTCAGAAAATATTTCCAATCTTTTGGCTGGTGTTGTGGTTATTTTTATATTTCATTAAAATACCTGCTGATATTATTTAGTATATTCTTGAAAAACGTATTTCATTTTACATTTTTAACATATATCTCGACTAATGAGGGCTAATGAGTGAATAACAACAAGCAAATGAACACAAAGACGTCAGACATACACTTTTCACGCTGCAATATTTTTTTTGTTGGTTTGTTGGTTTGTTTTTATTTTTAAATAACCTTGGCTAGTTATTTTTCTTAGATTGTGTCTTTTCAGGAAACCAACAAGTAGAGTGTGAGAAACTGGTGTGCACTTCTATTTTTGGAACAAAAGTCTGTTTTTGGGCGGTGCACTGATCTGTCACCAATCATCTGCTGCTGTTAGAATTATGGCATAGATTTCAGTAAAGTGACACCCTGTTCACCGAACTGTGTTGTAGCAAGAGTTCACTCCTCACACCAGGCGAAGGGTGTTAGGACGCCATACCTGTCACTGTAACAGGCTGATTATTGCCTGAGTTGGCAGCCTTGTGTGGTTTCTTCCTCTCCACACGGTCCCTGCTGGGAGAGAGTCCTGGGGCCTGTGCTCACTGAGGCTGAATGACTCACAATTACCACAGCAACAGAGCCTGCAGCCACCTCCCATCTTCTCAAGCCGTTTCACTGACTCACTTAGTGCACATGACAAATGACAAAATCACCCCGGACTTCCTCCCCCTCGCTATGAACCTGATAGACCATCGCCCACACTTTGCCTACAGTACTTATGCCAGGATGCTTTTTGCCAAGCTCCATGAAACAAAATAAACTTTGTCTATGAGAAGAGAGAAAACTTTGTCCGTCCTTTCGAAAAAATCCACACACGGCGAATGTTTCAAGTGTACGGAATGAAGGGTTGGCTCAAGGCTAAGGCTGCACAGACAGGTGCCTGGATGCTGTTTACCTGTCAGACCCATATAAAAACACAAATAATAAAAACAATTCATATGTCCAGGACGGATATATGGAGGATTGCCAGTGCCATGCTATAAGCCCCATGGTGGAAATACTAAAATAAAAATAATGTCATTTTTTTAAATGTAAAAATTAGGCAAAACTAGATTTTGCACATTTTTAAAAATGAATCGCATTACTTTTTAAAAATAATTAAATAAATGTGAATTTCATTGACTTACTGCTGTGTTGACAGCAGATCTGTTGTAATAGGCTGCCCAACAGGAGGTGCCAAGTATATGTTTTCTCCAGTGCTCGAACCCTAGACCTTTGCCATGTAAGGCAGATTTGTGAGCTCTCTATTGAACCATGCATTTTAACACAACAAGAATGCTCTGAATAACCAATAATTCCACTCTCCAGCCACCTGTCGTTACACAGTCAATACACAATCTGTTAGTTTCACCAAAGCAGTTTGCAATAAAACCATCATCTCATCACTAACATCTTCAGGTCAGACGCCCAGTTTGTGTCAGACCGGCCTCACTGAGCGCAGGACAGTAGATCAGTCCACAGGTGACAGAATCGTTCAAAGGGTTACAAGGGACTACACAATTAATCACGATTAATCCACTGCCTTTCTGTGATTAATCAGATAATTATTTTTCATTATTTGACAGCACTACTCAAAGCAACACAAGGTTCACTGTTTACAACAATTAAAGGCACATTACAGACTAATCTGAGGAATGATACTAATATGAGGCATCTGATTGGCTGAGATGATGTAGGAATAAGAGAAATATTAGGTTTATGGGAGGACGGCAGCAGGTTGAAATGATGATAAATAACATATATTTATTCATATAATATTTCTACCATAGTAGGCAAAACTGCACACAGTATACCGTGTGAGTACTCATACTTCTAAATAGGAAATAATAACTGAATCTTACATCATTAAGCTGTTTCTGAAAGTTTTACTGAATGTCTGGGCTTTTTTTTTTTACTGCAGTAAGCATTACTGTTTTAGTTGTGTTATTTCAAGCTCAATTGAAACTTTTGTCTTTGACAATAAAGCTGCACACTGACACAGCAGCACTGGCAGACACTGATATTGTCTTTTAAACAATAACACAATGCTCACTTCACTATTTCTCCTCCTCCGTTCTGACCTCTCTCCAATGAAGTCGCTCACTCACTATGTACTGTAAGCCTACAATATATATATTTTTAAAGTTTATTTTAATGAGTTCCCAAACAGACCATTGGAACTATTTCCTTGGAGGGGACACCGTGCTTGTCTGGGCTGTTCTCAGCCCCTGAAGGGAGGCTGAAGGATCTGAGTGGCAGTGTAGCGGAGCAGCAGATAGGTAACCAGAGGAGATGGTGCCTGGCCTCCAACATCCCCATGGGCTTAAGGGGAGANAACAGAAAGAAATCCTTGCAAGACAGTTTAAATGTGACAGTCAATATGCAAGGAAATGCATGTTTTCGACAGATAGAAAATCAATGTCACTGAATGACTGTGGTGCAGTAAAACAAATCGGAGCCAGAAAGCAGCATAAAATTGAATAAAAATGAGTCCGATTTAATAATCCTGACTAAGCCGATATGAGGAAGTACTGGAGGTAAAGACAAACGGATCTGAGCACAGACACAGAAACATGCATTATGTATCAGTGTAAAACCTCCCAGGGTACACACACACACACACACACACACACACTTACTCAACCATCGATATCTGCATCACTAAGGCTTCCTGTTTACAGCAACTCAAAAAATTAGTGATTATAGATCAATGTGTGTCAGGGTATGTGCATACAGTACTGTGCCATCTCAGCACATTTATATATATATATATATATATATATATATAAGTGTAAATGTGATAGATAAATATATGAATAAATTACAACGAAAATGAATGTAAGTTGATCAAAGACTCGGCATGAGGAAATGCTGCCGACTCAAATGACACTAATTCTGGATTGTTCCTTAGAAAAACAGACCTCCATCACCTGGTAAGAGGTTATTACTTCCAATGTTCCATCACATCATTTAATTTTTTTCCCCTCTTCACAAAGCTACTGCTGAGCACAGCAGTGCTGTCTTATCTCCTCCACTTCTCGTCTCTGCCCCTCATTTGATGTTGATTTGTCACATCTTTGAGTGTGTGCCGCTGCAGATTCTCCCGTCATTTGGAATATTTAAAGTCTTAATAGGACATAATATTTCATCCTCTGGTCTTTCTGCTCTTCGCATGTGGTCGGGGGTTAAGACTCTTGGAAAACAATGTTTCTTCTTCTCACTTAATTTCTTGAATTATGTTAATTATTTAAAAATAAGTGATTAAATTATAGAAGTTCCGTGTCTGGTATCCCAGTTCTGAAGTCAACTTTCAACCTTTGTTGTAGGAGATAAAACACCTGAAAGCACTTTTTGATGACATGGCTCCTTGTCTGTCATTGTGTGTTTTTTTCAATAAAATTACAGCCTTGATAGAAAATAATAAGATATTGATTAAACTGTCAACATTCACGCAGGCACCTGGCTGTATGTGACTTCAGGTTCGGTGTGGATTTTCTGTTTCAATCCCTTGTTTATACATTCTGACCCCAGCAGTAGCTAAAGGAGGAAAATGAGCCCGTTACAAGTAAACTAAGGGGTTATACAGTATCAGCTGTGGAAACCAGACATAGAGGTACATTTTCTCTTCCAGCCGAGGTAAACAAAAGAATGTAATTATAGCAACACCTGCAAAATTTCAGGGACTTATTTATATAAATAACATTGATAGAATGTCATGGTTACTAGCACTGGAGGTATGAACTCTAAATTAAATATCGATTAAACCTTTAATTTGTTTTCTGTCCAGGTTTCTTTCTACCTCACTAATAAATGTCTATTTTTTCTTCCACTTTCTTCCTCCTCTAACCTTCTCTACCCAGGTGGCACTGGGTCAAGAAGATGATTCCTCCAGCTCTAAGAGTTCTTCAGATGTCTCCTCCAAGATGGTGGGGCTCCTGAGCGGGCAGACTCCCCTGAGCCGCTGGATGATTCACAGTAAGAGCAGAGCTGCTAATGACAGCTCTCTGGAGCTGCCCTACCGTTCCCCAGTCCCCTTTGCCAAGCAGGAATTTTCTAAACAGGAGTTCTGGGAAATGTTGGGCAGTGACCTGCTCAAGCCTGATGCCTCCAGTTCTAGGGTTAAACGCCGGCCCATCGTAAAGACGGGCAAGTTCAAGAAGATGTTCGGCTGGGGAGACTTCTATTCCAATATCAAGACCGTGAGGCTCAACCTGCTGATCACGGGAAAGATTGTGGATCACGGCAACGGCACGTTCAGTGTCTACTTCCGCCATAACTCCACAGGCCAAGGTAACATCTCGGTCAGCCTGGTGCCACCTGTCAAGGCCGTGGAGTTTGACCTGGAGCGCCAGAGCGTGGTCTACCCTAAGGACTCCAAGATCTTCAACTGCCGCGTGGACTACGAAAAGGTGGATCGCAGCAAGCGCACCTCGCTGTGCAATTACGATCCGTCCAAGACCTGCTTTCAGGAGCAGATTCAGAGCCACGTGTCCTGGATTTGTTCCAAGCCTTTTAAGGTCATCTGCATCTACATTTCCTTCTACAGCACAGACTATCGCCTGGTGCAGAAGGTTTGCCCAGACTACAACTATCATAACGAGATGCCCTACCTGCCTTCAGGCTAGAGCACTTGGTGGGAGGCAGGAGAGGTTGGAGGGGAGAGGATTAAGTGGTTAAAAAGCATTACTGCAACACATGAGGGGGTAAGAAGGGCTGTTGAGAGCCATCGATAAGACCGTTACAGCGAGACATCTATAGAAAAAAGAAACCCCTTCTCTGTAGCCTGACTATTTCAAAATGTAAAAAGAAAATATGCAAACAAAATCTACAGTATGCAGATCATAGAGCTGTGCTGCATTCTTACCTCAGTCCAGCATTGAAACATTCTATTCTCTAGACATTTCTCTTCATCACAAGGTCATACGTTAATGTTGTCTGAATGTGCTTTTGTAGATATCATCCTCTACAACACTGCACTTCTATAAAGTCAAAATGAGAAAAGGGTTGGTGGGAAAAGTCAAATGCAGGTGCTGACTGATTTGAAGAAGAATCTTCAAATCTTCAGAATGTTTATCATTCTCCTTTAGAGATGGTATGAAATGATTAAAGAATGTGAAGCCCGGCATTCTAAAAGATTGTTCAATCTTCACCTCTGATCATTCTCAAATCAAACAATTACATTTTTAAATCTCTCCACACGCTCACATCTGACTACACCACCAGGTCAATGTCACCGTGTTCATTATCTGCACAATGTAATCCCTGTATCATTCGCTTATGTCACTTCCTACTTCATTGATAGAGGCAAATTAGACAAACAGAGCACAAGAAATTTGGAAATCGCAAGCAAAAGCAATTGTCGTGAAGATTCCGGACGAGGGCTCGAGACGAGCTCAGCGCCAAGAAAATAACTAGATTCCACACGGAGACGGCGCCGGCCCTCACATAGCAGAGAGAGAACGGAGAGACAGCGGTAGGGAGTGCGAGAGGCGAGATTCGGTAAGCTGTTTTAATTAAAGTGGAGAAGAAGATGTAGAGTATGGAGCTCCTTCTTTTGTCCCCTCTGTATTAAAAAGATTACATTCTGTTGCCGTCAGGATTCCTGATTTCACGCCTTGATAACTTTGACTCTGCTAGGGAGATTGCTCTCACCCGACAAATACAGCGTTCACTAAAGTAGGCCTGTTATCTCGAATAAATGAAAATATTATCATAATAATTACATATTATTTAATCTCCTTTAAAACTAATTAGGGTTTCAATGAGAGTGGGAAATGTATTCCTGAAAAATCAGTCCTGGAAGTCAGTGCGTCGCAGGATCAGAGGGCACGTGTCTGTCCAGGATTGTTGCGTGTTTCTTTTTTTTTTAACGTTGGAGCAGCAGCCAAAGCTCAGCCCGGAGTTAACTACTCTCATTTAGATAAATGGCCACTGGCTGGGCCATCTGATGTCGCTCTGGCAAACAATATCAGAGTATAGTGGTGCACAATGGAGCTATGAATTAGCCAACCTGACATTTGTGTGCGGAGAGGTTGCTGTTGTGCTGCTTGTAAGGACGTAATGATTTCTGGGTTCATTAATAATGAACAGTCAGAGGACAGGTGTGAAGAGTCATTAAACAACCACATCAGATTACTGCGCTGATGCTTGTACTCTGCAGTATCAAGGATACAGAAAGACCTGCGTGTCATGCGCCTGGATGAAATTGTGCGCTGGTGTCCCAGGTGGGCTTATGCTGCAGCGACTGGTCACAGTGAAGCCACCCTCCTGTGGGGAGCAGAGAGATAAATGTGTCACCTTCGCTGTTTTGGGAGTGCGTGGGGAGGAGTGGATATGTAAGGAACCAGAAAGAGTCGCAGTTTTAAGTCAAGAATTAAACATGTTTTTAATCAGTGGGGGTTATTTTGAATCTCAGTCATTTTTAACCTTTGACTTTAATAGGTTTCAGTGATAAAACGAGATAAAGGTAGTTGTAGTTTAGCAGTTGTGGTGGAAACTCTGTGAACTGTATCCTGCCTTATAAAGGAGAAGCCCATTAGCCTGGTAGAGCCTGGAACTAAGCGGAACATGTTCCTTGATACCTTTTACATGCAGTTAAGGATAAAAATAACAAGAACATAAAATATTTATGAAACATTGACTACTCTAAAACTAGCTAATAATGCAACAAGATCAGTGATTCTGGCCACAACAGATTTTCTGTCAAATCAAAAAACAAGACAGTGCGGTCCCACTGGAACACTGGTAGGAACAAAAACTCCAGCTAGGACCTGAGATGATCTGTCTCTGTAAAACGCATTATTACCGCTGTGTTTCATTCATTCACTCATATTCCTTCCATACTCATGTTAAACCCATCTTCTTCTCTATAACTTTGCCGCCCTTTACACCCCCTCCACAACCTTAGCCTGGCATTGAACCCTACGCAGCGGTTCCTTATTGCAGCCCATCAGCCCCCCCCCCAACACACAATGTTGGGCTAAGCTGGCTAATCTTGGTGAGCTTACCGTTGAGCCACCTGAACACGAGCAGTGAAAACTTCCCCTCCCTGTCTAGGTGTTTTTCCCTCTATCTGTTTCCCATACAGCACAGACATAGTCTCTGGATGTGCAACCTTAGCCTTTTTCCCTGTCCACATTCAAAGCAACTGACATAAGCCCGTGGATTGCGAGGACATGAAATCTCCACAGGAGCATGCCAATGGATTGCGTGACACTGAGACCCCCCTAGTGAACTCTGCACCCCTCTCCTCCTCCTCCTCCTCCTTCTCCTCCTTCTCCTCCAGCGTGTCCGTGGAGGAGCTGGATACATCACACGTGCCGGGATCGGACCAGGGCCACATACAACATCAAGCATATATAAAATAAACAAGGATGCCAGAGGAGAGGGACCTCCTCAGTCTGCTGCCCCCAGATCCTCTCAGATTTACAGCAATATGCTCATTGAAACTTCACCTTCTCCTCTGTGTTGTGAATCAAAGACAGGCTGCTGGACTTTGTGTACGAGAGAGTTGTGTTCACCCGGGATTGACCGGGTTGATACCGCAGCAGCTTCTCTGTTGTCGACGGATATTTGGCCTTAGAGACTGCAAGACAACACTGCTCTGCTCAGCAAAGAATAGTAACAAAATAAAAAGAACTTTCAGAAAATACACTACTATACATATATGAATATAAATATAAAAGCTAAGAGTCCTCAGATGCGAATAAAGTTGTATTTAAATGTGGGTCATGCAGTGGAGGTCGTCTGTTTGAGCTTTTGTTTACTGATGGTTTTGTTCCTCCGTGTCATGTGGATGATATACTGTATGGATGACATGATGGCATTTACTGTGGTTTTCAACATTCTAAGAAGAAAAAATCAATAAAGTACACACGTACTTAGGCCACTTTAAATGTAGAAAACGAGTCCTGTCTTATCTCTTCTTGTACCCTGTGTGAAGGAGGGGTGTGTCAACAATGCCAATGTCTCTGTTTTCTCTGAGTCGCGGACCCTCACTGTGAGCCACTGGCGGAAAAAAAGATGTAACAAAAATTTTGTTGAGGGCTCCTGCACAACTACGTGGAGAGAAATGAGCAAAATGAGGGGTTGAGAGAGGGGAGGAAACCGATTCTGCTGGAATGATGCATGAACACAACTTTATCCTTTAATTAGCCCCCCTCCACTTTATCTCTTCACAGTCTCATCACTGGTTTCTCCTGCGTGCATCCTGGTGTTCCTGCACATTAAAAGATTTAACTGACATTACATTTACACTGCACTACAATTAAATCCCAGAAAACTCCCATAATTTCCCCTATATATCCCACAATATAGGTAAACATAATTGATTAAATCGTGGCCAGCACCAAAAGTCAGGCCTTTCACATCTCCGTGTGTTCCCATAAAAATGCAGCCTGCCTCAGGATAACCTTGCCAAGATGATGAAAGGGAAGCAAATAAGTCAACACGGAGACAGAACAATGAGAATCTAATTTGGAAGGAAGCAAAATTGAGGTTAATGTGAAATGCGGGAAGAGCAAGATTCTGGGTCAGATTTGCACGTGGATGCAGGTATCGCAGCACGTGCACAGAAAGTGGAAGTAGCATATAAAATATGTCATTAATGATGAACATTAAATATAACAAGAGGTGAGATTTCATATCGTCCAGCAACAAAGTACAATTCAAGTACAAGGCACGCAGAACACCACATGTATTTAATAATGAGTAATGAGAAACTCGACCAATAGTTAGTTGGGCGAATATATAAACAACCTTCAATTGTAAAACTGGACTCTAAAACTGAAGACAACATGTAAGGAGACAAGGTGAGTTATTTGTTTGTTTTATGACAAGATGTGTTGGCCTACCATTTAACTGTGTACTCCATTAATTGTCATTAATTTCCTTCCTTGACATATTACGAGTCAGTATTCCTGTGCTGGCAGATATTGCACCTGGCAACATCATCCCCTCCATTACAGTGTTGACAAAGTCAAGCTCAGTCACACTTCCTCTTCACACTCTGATTTTGTTTTTTTTAAATGAAATAAATGCAGCTGTCATCTTTTAATAATGTGACAGTGTTTTTTTTTTCAAACAACAGTCACATCAAATCAGCTCCTAAATCCTCCAATGAGGATCATTTTCACAGCATAATATTCACTGTTGTGTATCTAATTTCCATTTGATTTACAGAAAGGAGTCTTCCGCGCACCAACGTGCTATTACTAAATAAAGTGTTGTCACAGGTGAAAATTACTTTGCAGAGATAATGGTATGAATAAGGTCTTAACCCCAAAATTTTAATTCTAACAACCAAATAGAATCTGTTAAATTTTCAGGAGGAAATTGTCAAAAAAAAAAAGACACACTCAAACACACATTTTGTGAGCACCTCACTAAGCCTCTTCTGAGCCACTGATTCTAATCTCTAAAACTGTAAAAATCTTGAACATAAAGACACCCCACAAGTGTAGCTAAAACAGGAACACTTTTACTTAAATGACATACACTCACTTGTTTGAACTTTCACTGAATATATTAGTGTCTAAACACCAGTTATATTCAGTTATGTATCTTCCTGTTAATGATCAGACTGCAGTCGTCTCTCCAGACGTCTCAGTCTATTTCTGTTTTGTAAAGATCCTGCAGATTCAGTCGCCTTCTGTCCTGACCCTCGTCTCCCCTCCACAGATTTCCTGTGGAATTTAGTGACTTGAATCAGCTGGATAATCCTTTCTAATGTGGCCTCTGAGGGACAGTTCTTTACCAAACTTTTAGGTTCTTGTCATGTAGGAAAAAATATATAATAATATATATTTGGTTTGATAGTTACCTCATCTTCAACAGGTAACTCCACGACCCCCCATGGGTTGGCAGAGGTACTGCAGAGTCATGAAATATTTGCTAGGTAAGATAATATATATACAGTATATGTGTACATTTATATTTCCCCATTTGTTGACGTGGCCACTTCTCGCCTTCTTTTCCAGACTGAAAGGTAAATAGATGACCATAGTTTAAGGCCAACCTACCTGAACAATTAATTAGCTTCCAGTTTGTGCCATTCTTATAGGTCACGTCTCTAATGACTATCTTTTGATCCCTTACCGTCTTTGCAGGTATATCTAGTCTATTTAGAGACAGAGTGCAGTAACTCCTGATGTGTTTTCTTACAAAGGTCTTAAAGTCTTCATTCTTTAACACCTGCTACTTCCCAACAGTGTGATCTCTTTGAACTCCTCTCCTATTCTTCCCACTCCAGTCTATGACGCAGTGTAGTTCAGGATAACTTTTATTTTCCTCACCTGCTTTCTGAGCATTAACATAAAAGTTTTAGCCATGAGGTCAAACCCTTTAATATTGCCAATATAATGTCAACATACCAGTTAAGCTTATAGATAATTACAATGAAGCAATGGTGAAATGTATTTAGTCACTCTTTCTCTATATAAACTCCATCCATTTTCATCCGTTACTGGGTCGCGGGGGAAGCAGTCGCCACCCAAATCACACTGCACCGTACCAACCCCCCCAAACCTTCCTGCGGGTGGTGAGTCCACTGGAAGGTACCAACC